GATTAAATGTTGTCTGATACTCTTTTTTTCTTCTCTCCTTTCCTTGCTGAAATTGAAGCATAGTAAAATCTCTTGTCTCCATAATATTGCCCGTGTTGGGTAGGAGGTAGGCAGTTAAGTATATCATGATCAGTGGACTGAGCGCATCCTTGTGGTGCTTTGAAGAGGAGACGCTGCATGCTGAGACATTGTGCATGTCACTGAGACAAGAGTGCTATGTCAATTTGTTAACACTTTCTGTCTTTCCAGAGGTCTAAAGAATGGCAGAGGAGACCACCTTTTAGGTCTGTAAGGCCTACAAACATTGTTAATTATCCAAAGTTGACTAGCCTTTAAAAAACAAAAGCCAGAGGCAAAAAAAAAGTCTGTCATAGGTAACCTTACAGAAATATTATATAAGACCATTTGGCTGTGGGGAAAAAAGGGACTCATTAAAATAAGAAAACTAATTTTAGGCTTTAAAAAAATTACCAAAAAATTTCAGATAAATTTTATTTCTTTTGGCCAATAATTTTGTGAAGAAAAAAGTGAAACTTGAAAATGAAACCACAAGAAAATTATTCCTAGGATAGCTTACTGCATTGCCAAAGGTTAGCCCAGAGTACATTTTTATGGCACCATTCTAAGTGTAAAATCTGGTATCCTGATGGAATGTACACACATTTGTATGTGTTTCCATATGAACAGTGTTAATTCATTACCAAAAGATAAAGTATTGGCCACTTAGCTTGCTGGACTCCATAAGGATTCCTTACCCTAAAAAGCTGCCTTTGGGGGAATGACTGCTCTAATATGTTTGCACAGTGAAAGAGTCCATTAGTTGGGAAGGAAAGGACTTGGAATTTAATCTAAATGAAATTAATTTTAAATGGATTTAAGGTTTGGGGATTTATTGAACCACTTATCTTCCTTGGTCTTTCTTACATTTGCTACACTGTGGCCTAAGGTGAATGGAGTGCCTTGTTTTGGTTCATCCAAACTGCTCTCTTTAATACATGTTTTAAATCATTCTCAAGAAATGCTGTAGGATTATGATGATATTCTGTGATCTGAGGGAGAAACAGAGCTTGTAGGTGTCAGAGAGCCTGTTCCTGTGCAGTTAAAAGATTCAGGAATCTGCTTTGCTACAAGTTATTAAACTGGAAACATCACCACCCTATAAAATGGTAATTTTTATTGAGCTTTTCTTTCGAATAAAAAGAAATCTGGTAAAAAAGCTTTGTATTTTTCATGCCAGCCACTAGAGGGCGGAATAATCACATTTCCTGGGACAGGTATAATTCATTCTGATAAAAGAGTGGGAGGATAGAACACATTTGCTAATGTTTATCAATGGTGGAATATATAAAACAATGGTATTCCTCCTTTAGGGTGCATACTGATCAGAAGAGGAACTTGTTAAAAATGCAGCTTCCTGGACCCTAACCTCAGAGATTCTGATTTGATAGCTTTGGATTTGGAATATCATGGGATTCTCAAACATGTATCTTGGATTTACTTTGAGAAACACTAATTTTAATGTTCTGGGCAAGAATTTTTTGCCTGATTATCTTTTCTTTTAGGATCGCAAAGCAAAACGATTATTTTGGAGGGAAAAGACTTAACAAGAATACAAAGGTATAGAACTAGAATGTTAAAGACCTTTTCCATGCCTTTGTCTAACAAGTTTAAAGGAGACTTACTTTGCAAAGACTTAGCATCAAAGAAGCTACTAAAAACATGTTTTTTTGTGGAGTTATACTTCGGTCAATAGCAGTCATGAAATCCTTAGGCTACAAGTCTAAGAACTTAAAATATTCCTTTTATGACTATATCACAGTGCAAACTAATTTAATCCTTTGGGTGTCAGTAAAGACCCCATTCATAATGCCTTGGCATTGTGACAAGTAGTTGTGGTGACCTCTGAGTACAGTATATGTATTGCTGTCATCATCTTGAACATACATAGATTGTAGTAATACACATTTTCATTCTGGTAAGGGTGACGATTTTATTATTGCCAGTGCCCCAGAGAGCAGTGGCATCCTTGTGGGGAAAGTTTTGCCACTACTCTTGAAAGAAAGAAAAATGTGGTAAAATCATTCAAATCTATGATAGGTGCTGTAGCTCAAAATGTTAAGGAGATGGGGGACTGAGTAAAATGAAACTTGGTTCTGAAGGTGGGGCTTCAGATGAAATGAAATGAAAGGGAGACATTATTTTTTCAGATATATATAAAATAAGTCTCTCTCCTATGAGCCCCTCATGGACCTTCTTCCAAGAATGCAACCATCCACCCTCACATATCTCGTATGAAGGTTTTCCAGTTTTTAAGGCTCTTCTGTCATTACATGTGAATGAAAGAGTAAGTTCTGTAACCTCCCAAACATATGTACATGTGGATATAAAAAATTAATTTTGAAATTAAAAGCCAAAAATCTAGACTCATTTTGTGTGATTTTAGAGAAAAGGAAAGTTGCTTTTTTTCAGAAATTATGGTGTCTTTCTTTATTATAAGCCTTAATTAGTACTACTTTTAGTAATCTATATATGTTGGTATATGACAGTGTTCCTAAATTTTGATGCTGATATGAATTACGATACTGAGGTAGTCCTCCTAATAGAGGAACCTCTTTAAAGGTTCTATTCCTTGAAAGCCCAGTAACCTTCCAGTAATGTTAATCACTTGGGAAGCCTATTTATAGTTAATGTCTAGAGAAAATGATGAAATAAGAATTTCTGCATTATTATCATGGAGCACAGGACTTGTGGTGCTAAATTTACTGTAGAGAATTCCCTGGCTTACATAAGATAAGAAATTGAATCCTTACAAAATGGATGTACTAATGGATAGCCCGGACCTTCTCGAGCCCTGTTAGTTTTGAGTGAGCTAAGAATGGATCTTGCCTTCAACACTCTGGACAGCCAGGAAGAGCCTGTGGGTGACATGAGCGCCTTGGCTGGTCATCTCTGCCTCTTCATCCATTGTCTCCAGTGCCATGGAAACATGTTTTCTGTTTGTGCCATTGTATGACAAAGGATGGGAAACACTGGAAAGACTTTGTTCCTTAATTGTTTACAATTTTATGATCAGTTCATCACTACCCTCCAAAATGTTACATGTACCCTCTATTGATTATTGTCTAGAAAAACATCTCATGCAGCAGCATTATCAGTAACTACTTAGAAAGATGTAAAATCAAGTATGTACTTCCTTCTAAAGTTCTAAGCCAAGGTGACTTAAAAAGAAAAGTAGTTTTGAAAAACATTTATACCATCATATATTTTATAATACAGTTGGGTCACTGACGAAATCCCAAGATAAATGTGTTTAAACAGAAGCTTTCTCATTCATCGCCAGCCTCAGATTTCATCCAAATTTATTTAATGATGATGCAAGCCCACAGCATTGGTGTTGCGGTTCATCACCATGGAAGTGTTTCTGTCAACAAATCCTTGCTTTGCTATCATAAAATTGATTTTGCAGGGAAAAGGAGAATAATTGTGAAAGATTCCTTTTACTTCTAGAGATCTTCACAGTTTGGGTGTCTAAATGAATTGTGTTTAAAATCAATAACTGGCAATAAAATTGACCACACTAAATTAACATTTGTTAGGTTGGAAAAGGGAAAATGGCAATGAGCTACTTTGTCTGAAATCATCTTTTTGAATCTGACTTGGGGACCAGATTTGTAATTTAAAATGTTCCTCTGAAAGCTGTTGTTTCTTGCTACGTAAGTATGGATCATGCTCAGAGTCCTATGAACTGGTATCAGAATTCTTAAGGTGCTTTGGCTGAGTGTTTCTCACCTACGTTGCAAATGGCATAACAGTAATCCAGAAGAAAGTTCCCTCAACTAACATACTGGATGACTTTTTAAAAAAATGTACCTTTTTTATAACTTGTGTTTGTAACTATCTTTGGTTTTTATTTGCTTGTTGAGAGGTTAAGAAACAAACAAAAAACGCATGATTTTAAGTTGTAAGCTTCTGAATGTTGCCCACTTACAAGCAAAGTAGGAAGTACCTTCCTTAAGTAATCCAAAGTATTTTGAGGGCCAAATAGGAAAAACAAACAAGAATAGAATTTTTGCTTTGAAACAGAGCATATGTGAAGTTCAAGAGCATATGTCACAGTGGCTGATTCCAGGTTTGGATATAGACATATATGTTTTGTTTAATGGGAGTTTTGTCTAATATAGACTCTTGATTGTTACTGTAACTTGTGTTTCTAAGTGTGCCTTTTCTGGCTTCCTATCATATTTCAAAGCTTTTTACTGTCACTATCAGCTCATATGTGCTCACAAAAGCAAATTATGTAATATTATTTTATCCAGTTATTATCAGTAAACATTTATTAAGTTCCTAAGTTCCTAGCTTGTGCTAAGCAGAGATATTGAGATACATCTCAAGCATGACATGAAATTTGCTTCTGAGAGATCCTTTAGTTCACTTATAAATCAAATATACATAGATATTTATTTATTTATTTGAACCTCTTCTTCCTCTGTGATCAGAAGTTGAATTGTAAAAGGGAAGTAGGTCCTGTTTGTTCTTAAGGAAGAATTAAAAGACACTATGAACAGGAAATAAAATTGTATTGTACATGCAAAAGTGTAACACAAAATGACCAAAAGAAAATTCAGCAAGCAATGATAAAAATAACAAATTATTTACTGCTTTAAAATGTTAAGGTATTTCAAGACAAGTTGCAGTCAAATTAATGTGAGTTATGGAAAATGAAATACATAAAGATGTATTTATACAAGTGCAGACTAAATATTTTCCATATGGGTATGTAAATGAAAAGATATACAGTAAGTGCACACTTGATATGACTATGCAGGCAACAGTTAGTTTCAGATACTTTCGAATAGTTCATGCACAAACCTTCCCAAAGTACAAGTTCTGTGAGTCTTTTTGGGGATGTGGAGGGATAATTAAAAAGGACTGAGTTCCTCGCAATAATATCAGTATAGACTGGATGAGGGTGAGGGTCATCAGTTATATATATTACTTACTGTAATTTGTGATTGTCGAGGAAGAGGTGTGGCAGTTGGTGTGATAGTAATACTGCTGGTGACTTTACTGGTTGTTTTGTTTAGTGCCCCATTAGGTAAGCCTTGAGTTCGGTTATCCTGCAATGGTGTGGAAGGGCTGGCAGGTCTCATGGGGCTGGTTACAGCTTGCATGTAAGGATTTCCTAAGTGAATGTGGATTTTATTATCCTCAGTAGTTATCACACTTGAACTATTACTGTTTGAACGTTGAAACTGCCATGATGATTGCCGGTCAGGGGAGACTCTGAAAATTGCATGCTTGGCACTGATTTCTATAGGCTCTGGGGAGCGTCCCTGCTCAGGAGAGCTAGCTGAACCAGTCACAGCCAACACCTGAATAGGCGACATTGTCCTTTCTGGAGTTATGGAACCACAAGACTCTGGGGTCTGTGCTCTGGCAAAGGTTGCCATAGTAATTGGGGACATGCTTTGCTCTAAATTCACGAGGCCTTCGGCAGAGCTTTTGGATTTCACTGGTGTTATGGAGGCATTTTGGAGGATAGTTATCCTTTGCTTTGGAGTGCCACAGTTTGGTATCACTGCAGTGCTTGTGTAAGAGTGAGGACTTTCTGTGGTCGGACTTGTAATTTCAAGAGTGGCAGTGTTCTGTACATGGTCTGGAGTAACCTTTATGTGAAGTGGCTGCCCAGGAGTGTGGCTCAGAACTAGATCTCCAGGTTGCACAAAGTTGCCATTAGGTTTAGTTTGTATTTTTCCATTCTGAGGATGTCCCTCCTTGGACTTCATCCAAGGAATCCATAACTTCCTGTTAACAGGACAGGGAGTAGATGAGTTGCATTTGACGGACAGCATGGATTCCTCATCATTAGGGTCCTCATTCTGGTCCTCACTTTCCTCATACAACTGACCATTGATGACTGCCCGTTCCAGAGGAATGAGACTCTTATAATCGGGTGGCTCATTGTCTACTGCTTCCGTTTGAACTTCTTTAGAAAATACTTGAGGTTCAGAGATGATTCTTCCATTGAGACTAGGCCGGAGGCTCTTACTGAAATGCCGGTACCGCCCTAACTCTTTGGTGAGGTTTTCAATCTCTCTTCCTAAATCTCTGTTCCTGTTTTCTTGTTGATTGAGTTTCTTTTGCAGAACTGAATGCTCTCCCTGGAGGTGACATATCAGGTCCTCAGTTGCCATATATTCATGAATTTTTTCTTTGAGTGCATCCACTTCTCTTGAGAGGTGCCCTGATTTCGCTTCTTCTTCTTGAAGCCTTTTAAAAAGCCATTGTTCGTGGCTAGATTCTGTCTTTACTGCTAACTTGTACTTGGCAAGTTCTATTTTAACATGTTCCAGCTCTTCAGACAAAAACTGAGCTTTGTCTCGTTCATTAGCATACCTCCGTTCTAGAGTCTCGTACTCATCTTCTGTTTTCATGAGGTCATCCTCAATGGCTTTCATATCCTTTAACTTGAGTCTCAGTCCTTCCACTTCTTGAGAGAGCTCTTTAATCTTACTGTTTTCTTGGTGTAATGCTGCTGTGGACTTACTAGAATCTTGATTTAATTTGTTTTTTAGAAAGTCTTTCTCAATTGCTTCCAGTGATTGAAGTCTATTTTTCAACATACTAACTTTGGACAGGAGTTCATTTCCTTTTTCTTCTTCTGCTTTTAGTTTGTTTTTTAGATCATCTCTCTCCTTGGTTACAGTGTACATTTTTTCTTCCACATCGGTTTTGGACTTAAGTGCCCTTTTAGTTTCCTCAATTAACTTCTCAGTAACCATTGTCACTTTATTTTGCTCAACTTGAAGCTGAGAAGCAACAGCTTGTAACTTATCTTCAGTTTGCTTTAATTTTTCACTCATTGTTTTCCTTTCATCTACCAGCATGACAGTTAATGTTTTCAGTTTAGTTAAATCCTCTTTTAGTGTCAACTCCGTCTTTTCCAGCTGACTTTCAATGGCTTCTAGCTCTTTGATCCTTACTTTTAAACTCTCCAGTTCTTGAGACAACTGCTTTGTCGTCATCTTTTCTTTTTCTAAACTGCATTTCAGAGAGTAACATTCTTGTTTGCTTTTGTTGAAAGCATCTTCTAATTTTTCAAGAGCCATAATCCTTTTATTGAGTTTTTCAACCTCAAGTTTAAAGTCTCTACTCTGTGATGTTTCCTTTTCGAGCCTCTTATTAAGATCTCTGCACTGCTCCTCCATTTTTATGAGCTCTTCATCCTTGCCTTCCATTTCTAGCACACGTTTCCTGAGCTCCTCCACCTCAGCCATTATACCAGAGTTTCCATATTCCCCCATGTTGATCTTTTCTTTGATATCTTGTAGCTCTTCTTCTGCTTTTCGTAGAGATCTGTTTGTCTCTTCTAACTCATCAATTTGCCGACTGAGCGCCGCCAGCTTTTGTCGAAGCTGGCGATTCTGGCTGTCCTCGTTGGTGAGCTTTGCCATAATTACTTCTTGGTTCTGATGAAGCTTTGTGGTCTGCGCATGCAGTTCTTTCTCTAGTCTGGCTGCCTTCTGCTCTTCCTCCTGGACCCTGGCTTCAGCAAGGGCTAGTTTAGCTTGAGTTTCTTTTGCACTTGTGGTTAGGTCTTGGACTTTCTGCCTGTGTAGGGCAAGCTGTGCCGTCAGCCTTTGTTGTTCATCCACTACCATCAAAGCAAAAGACTTGAGTTTGCTCAGCTCCTGTTTCAGGGCAGCGACCCTCTTCTCCCTTTCTCGCTCCTCCTCCTCCTGGGTCCTTGTTTCCCGGTCCGTCAGCCTCTTCAGTCTGAAAAATAACAAGAGTGTGATTGGTGCCTTAGTAGCTTGCCAGCTATGACTAAACATTTATGTAGTTTAGAAAGATGGAATCAGCTCATACAGAATATGGAAGGAAATTCCCGAGTTTGAGGGGAGGAGAGCTTCAATGAACAGGTATCTTGGTTTTTCTTTTCACTACCCACTCTCTCCACCCTTTATGGATTGGTAAGAGATGCAGTTTCCCAGGAGCCTTGGTAGAGGAGCTAAGGGAAAGAATGTTCAGTTTGAATTGCTGTGTGATAACATAATCAGTAGGCAGTGTAGTCTGAGGGCTGTAAAAACAGGCATGAGTTTGAGGCTCAGTTGGACCTGGCTTTAATTAACTGGTTAATTAACCTGGGCACTTATTTAACATCTCTGAGCTTCAGTTCCCTCATATGAGAAATGGAGGCAATAATTGTATTATCTTGGACATGTGTGAAAATTAAATGAGATAATTCATCTAAGATTTTCACAGTGCTAGCACATAGTTAGCACCTGGTGAGTATTGTTGCTGTTCTTTTTTATTAATATGGTTATTACATTTATCAGACAGTTTGCTTGAGTGGTACATTAATGTTTGGTGCTCAACTTCTTGATTCATGGTTAAGGTTTTATTCACATTGGTTAGTTACTCACTTTACTGATGGATCTCTCTACCAATTAAAACTTGGTTTACACTAGCAAGACATTGTGCCGGCAGTCACTCACTTCTCATTTATCTTTATCCCCATGGTGGCTGGTAGATCCATGTGGGGAGCTGAGAGGCATCTAAGGGGGTTTAGACTTTTCGTAATAGATGGAAGGACATGGGGTTTGACAGGAAAGAGCCTATTGATGGGAGTCACATGCTAGAAATGATGGAGGAAAAAACTCTATTGTCAGGAATGTAACGATTACCTCTTAAATGATAATTTTGTTACAACATGTTATTTTTTTTCTTTTATGTTTTAAATGTATCAGCATAACAGGAGGGCATTTAACATGCACATTTTTCCTCAGGAGTAAGGTCACAGTTTAAATTTGTGGCACTCTTAATTACACTAGTGGTGAGCTGATTATAGAGGATGTAATTATAGCTTTGCAATGTTCTTATACAGAAGCTAAAACAATGGAATCCCTGAAAAATTAAACTAAAGGACTTGTCCCACATTTGTTTTCTGATCAAGCATAAAGAGTTCATAATGTTTTAATATATCTTTTCTATTAGGAATGATCAATTATCCAATGCATGTCTTTAATCCATGCTATAAAACTTTGTTTTTGAAAGTTTAAGGATTTGAGAGGACATTTTAAAAGGAAATTAATTTGGGGCAGTCTCCTTGGAAATAGAGTCCTTTTTGAGGTCCTAATCTGCTTTTTTTCTGTAATTATACTACACAGAGGGGAACATGTTTAAAATAATTATGTAATGTAAGAACTCTTAAACATTTTTATGGGGAGGATCCACTTTTTGTTTTTCCTGTTTTGAGAACCTGACAGAGGCTGGCCCAAGGGCTGCGGCCTGTGAAACTCTGAAGAAGCTGGGCTGGGTGCTGGGGAGGGGTGGTTGATGATCTCATCCACAGTCTTGGCAGAAGGCTTCCCCATGGCTTCTGGCCCTGTCCCACTCCCTATTTGAGACACCTAGGAGCCTGAGAAGAACAACATGGTGTCTCTTTCCTGAGTGGTCATGAGACTTCACAAGCCACTGGCAGATTCTATGGGTAAACTGTTTTGTTGGTGAAATTGTTACAGAAACTTTGGTAAAGTGCTTCTCCCTCCCACCTTTACATTAGAATTCCATTTAACAATGTGCTGGGTATAACTGCAGTGAAATATTTTCCCCTCTTCATATCACAGTTCTTAGAGTTTGTTAGAGAACAGTTTCACAAAAACTTTTCAGGATTTCTTTTCAACTTATTAAATAATGCCATGTGCTATTTCATTTTCATGAGAAGGAGGTGTGTTTGCTTAGGATATAAAGGAGGGAAGTTTTTTTGCCAGTATAATGAAAAGGGCATTAAAATTGAAGGTTACTAGTGAATCTTGGCAGTGCCATAGTCAGCCAAAAAGATTTTCAAGAAGTGTCATTGTTTCCATTGTGTTCAGTGTTTTGTGGCAGCAAGTATGAGGCACCTTTTTCATCACAGTGCAAGCTCAAGTGTCTTTTTCACAGTTTCTGGAAATCAGCTGGCGTCCTCATTTGTTCCCAAACCCCATCTTACAAGATAAGTACATAAAACTGGTCATTTGAACACATTCATGTCCATCATTTCCTTACTACTTGTTTCCTTACTACTCTGGGCCAGTCCCATGAGCACACCACAGGACATTCAACAAGCTAGTCAGGTAAAGCCTGTCAGGGAGGGAAACAGGAGTTTATGTGCAAAAAGAGTTATACTCTTAACCATCAAGGAGGAGCTTCAGGCCAGCAACCATGTCTGGAGTATTTGAAGGTTGAAGTTTGAAGTTAGTTTATGGTCTGAAGAAAAACCATTTGTTTGCAAAGTTAGCTGGTCCTCAGAAAGTTTGAAGCTTCAAACCTGGCCTTTTGTACACAGTCTCCTAAATAAGGAAGCTGATTGTCACATTGCTAATTGCTAATGCAGGGATCTGTATATGTGTGTGTATATATGTAAATAATGTGTGTGGGTTTTTTTTCAAGTACATATGAATGCTTTCAGCAAACATTTGCTGAATATTGAGTATTTTAGTTGTTTGAGGTTCACAATCACTTATCTAAAACTTTTGAAGACAAATGACTTCAAAATTCTAGAGTTTTTCATATTTTATAAAGGCACTAAGGTGTGTGCACCATATATAACAGCTCCAGTTGGCCTATGGCACCACCTCCTAGGTAACCTCTGAATGCTTCTGCAGTGAATTGTGTGAATAGTCACACAAAGTGGAATAATTAAGATAATAAGTAGTCTCACATCTATTCAGGTTTTACTACCAAATAAGTTCTGATAAGAAGTTTTGCTGCCACAATTTAGCAAAAACTTTGTTTGGTTTTTAGATTTTCTAAATTGCATACAAGGGATGGTGGATGTGTACAGTGAAGGTACAGATGACTGGTGTCTTTTGAATAAGGATAATGTGGGGTTAAGGGCTCTCAGCCTGTTTCTTCTCTAGTAGGATTTGGGTTTTAAACCCAACAGCAGCTTAATTTTCTGTCTCCATTATATTTCTTTTCATATTAACAGATTTTAGGCATTGATGCTGACTGATTTTATATGCTAATATTGATTATCATTACCTCTAGGTTAGGTGTTAAAAACAGATAAATGATTTTGAGAGTATTTAACCCAGTGTACTCATAATCATGAAAGTAGCATAGACCTTGATACACCGAATGTCCAGATATGAAATTCATCACCTCAGAGCTGTATAGTCAAATTACTGCTCCATTTTCCAGGAATATTTCTAATTAAAACCTTTATGCAGAGATATTTGTGTAATATATGCTACCAGTTTCTCTACCTTCAGCAGTATTAATGTTTTCAGCTAAGTGATTCTTTATTGTGGGGGCTGTCCTGGGCACTGTAAGGCATTTAGCTGTGTTCTTGATTTCTACTCACTAGGCACCAGTAGCAACCCTCTTCTCCCCAGTTGTGACAACCAAATCTGTCTCCTCCAGACATTGCCCAATGTCTCGTGGAGTGGGGGGAAATTGCCCCCACTGGAGAACTGATCTGTGCCTGTGTGTATATGTCAGTCTATCATTAGAAGTTAGACTCTCCACTGTCCTGCCTTACTTAGCTTTAAGTAAGCAGATACAAAGGGAAGTTCCCACGTAAGTTACATATACACCTGGTAATTCTATCATCCCTGCAAATGGCCTCTTATTTATCAGTGCTTCTTGCAGTTTAAGATGTATTTGAATCACCTAGGAATCTGTTAAATTGCAGATTACAATTCAGTACATGGGGATGGACCTCAATCTTTGCTTTATAACAAGCTCCTAGGTGATGCTAAGACTGACTGTGTGTAGCAAGGCTTTATTATTTACACATCAGATGGTTTCTACAAGTGGTATTTTGGCTGAATATTGATTGTACCCCAATCTGTGGCACAGGCTATATTCCTGACCTACAGGGCCATCCATTTTTTCAAAGAGAACATCATATAGGAGACTATGACTATTAGCTAAAATCCATCTGCATTACTGGAAAAAATAACTCAGAGTGCATATCGTAAGTGGTAGATCAGCTAGCAAAATTTTCACCTAAAAAAGGCAGTAAGTAATTTTAATTCCAATTTGTGATTTTCCTCACACAACCCAAAGACTAAAGCATAGGAGTTATATAATAAGTGGCATTTTTTATCTAATGTCAATGATGTTCTGCCAAGCCCTGAGCTCAGTCTACATACCTGCTAGTCCTATATTCATGGTAAATTTACAGGGTTTGGGATTATTACTTCTCTTTTAGCCATGAAAATTGAAGCTCAGAAAGGTCAGGAAGGGGTAAAGCCTGTAATGATTTTCTATTCCACACTGCCACCAAACTATTGGATGGAATTGGTCCACCTACAGTGTCTTTCTCAAGGGACACTCTCTGTAATAAACTATCAACATAAAGAAAAATGATCATTTATCATTGTGCTGCACTCTTTTCAGCTCACATCTCATAGAGAAGGGTTTTCAAATATTTGCTCTTCTATCTCCTAAAGTAATTTTTATTAGGTTCAGCTAGTTTGTTCATATAAAGAATAATCATAGCACTTCCCTTAGCAAATGTTACCTACTTTTTTCAGCTTATTGAGGTATATTGACAAAACTAAGATACCTTAAGTCAATAACATAATAGTTTGATTTATATGAGAGTTATGAAAAGATTCCCACCAAATTAACACACCACCTCACCTCGCATGTTCATTTTTTGTGTGGTAAGTTCTGCTCTCTCAGCAAATTTCAGTTACATAATACAGTATTAACTGTAGTCAACATACTACAGCTTAGACCCACAGACCTAACTCAATTTAAAACTGGAAGTTTGTGCCCGT